TATATGTGTAATGGATTTAATTATTTATGTCGTTTCACGTATTCGTATTTTGAACGAGTCATAGCTCCAGAAGGATACGTATTTAAATAAAAAATGGTATCGTTCTGCGTTGTAATGCTCAAGTTAAACCGATTTCTGTTGCTCTGAACATGACTCCACAATGTTGTCACGAAACCAGCATATGAATGAGTGTGCTATTTTTTTTTCAGTTTACATCATGGAGTAAGAATCACATGTACACTGGCTAGATTGTGAAATGACGTTGTACTTTAATAACTGAGTCGTCGGGATGCGATCATAAATATGATAATGGGCCAACTATTCTCTTGGTTCACAAACGTTTTTTATTTTGTCTTTCTTATTCTCTATTATACATTGTTTTCAAATTTATTATTTTTCAACATGCAATCTGTTGAGAAGCTTAAAATGACTTCGTTCAGGGTTTAGAACACTGTGCACTGCGTTAGTGCTTTCTGAGCGTGTGTTATATACCAAACATGCAAAAATATAAATATTACTTGTCGAAATATAAACAACAAGTCTACCCAGAAGGTTCAGGTACAGGATATGTTTATTAGCATGATAATGCAGCCAAAAATAGCTGATGTAGGAGCCATTGTGCACAACTTGCTGTGGTAAATAAAGCTTTTGAATTTATATAACAACTCTAACTGGAAACGCAAGCAGGTCTACTGGAGTGTCATACATGTGTACCATAATGCAAATGAAGTTTCGTCTAATTCAGCTTTGCAAATAGCTGTAGAGCAGATTTTCGTAAGAACCCTGTTATCTGTGCGATACGACTTTCTTTCTCTAAGACTTAATTAATAGTTAAGGACCTTCAGGGAGAAATGCTGACAATTTGGGAAAGCTTTAAGTTTTTTCTTCTCTTTAGTATCGCCATCGTACAGTTCACGATGTTGCCAACATGCCAAATTGCCATGAGTCACATTCATATAACTCTTTTAAAAAGAATACCCCATCTATAAATGTTGTGTAAGAAAACCAGGGTTTGGATCGAAATAAGTCAATTGGATTTCAAGGAGATGTTTCTAGTAGCGTGACCGTTCAAAACTTTGGCCAATTTGCCGTCGCTTTTCCTTTCAAAAATTTAATCAAGTCAACTGTTTAATATGCGACAGTAGTTATGATTATGAGTAAGATATCGTCATTACAGTAGTATTTTTAGGTATATTTTAAAATTGTGTCGATAACGGAAAAATTCGAAATGCTTTCGAAATTTGAGTCCTTAAAATATTGTATTCTTCCGACAATTTTTTATCCTTTTAAATAAAATGACGGAACGCATTTTAATCATGATAGTAAATTAGCAAGAGCATGCAAAACACAGTCATTATGAAACCTGACTGACGTTGAAATAGCCATGTTCAGTCACGGATTCGAAAATTTAATTTCGATTGCACGGCGAGGAAAATATATACAAATACAAATATACGAATTTGGCTTACACCTGGAAGAATTGCTGAATCCTTTAAAAAACTTGAATCACCGTTTTACAGGCTCACTCAATTCGACATAAAGAATATCAATTCGATGGAGTAATTGCACTCCATTTGTATGACTATACATTTATTTCAAAGTGCATATTAGAACCTATAATTGCCAGTCGGAAAGCAACAGAAGTAAGGATAATATTAAAACTGTGAATATATTTTAAACTTAGGTTTAGAATATTTCTTTCGTGAGAACAATTATCACAAGTAATGCATCACATCTCGACAGTCTGTTACAGATATTAAACTTCCTGAAAATCGATCCGCGGATTTCAGCAGAATTGATCGTAGTTGAAATATACCGCGACGTCTAGAAGCTCAGTTACGTTAATGGATTTTTGACAGATGGTTTAATTTATGTATGCGTCTAAATAAGACCAGTTTCCTCGTTAGTTCAACCGACGGATGGAAGATGAATCAAGCGGGACAGGATTCAACTCGGTTGCGTTTTCAAATGTTACTGACTTTGCTAGTTCACTTCTTTCAAGGTAAGAGCTACTTTTCAGTGATATTGTGCTATGCTTTTCTATTTTAATTAAAGACGAAGAGGATATACGGTTATTATTAATTCAACACTGAAAGGCAATCAAGCGACATGCTTTTCTTGCAACGAACACGAAATTTTAGACAAAGTTTAAATACAGCAAAAGAACATTTTTTATATAAAAACTTCGTAGTTTTAGACCAATTTCATTTATTTTCTTTTTCTTTTCCTGCTATTTAAAGCAAGTCTCTGTCACTGGTTAATATTTTTGATTGTTAAATATAACCCTCTAGTGAACTGTTTGTTTTGACATGGATGGTCCTTTAGCGTTAGTATTTGTTATTCAGGAAATATCAAGTGCCTTCAAAACTTGATCCGTAGAAAAATCTTAAATTATAGACGTTGGAAATGATCGTAGTAACAAAGCTCTCCTCGAAACTCCAGAAGGTTTACGGCATCACTATCATCTTCAAGCTATTTCACCGCTCTGAATCAGATCTATTTTCGTTATCTTATCATATGCTATTTAACTTCAGCGAAATCCCATTAGTTAAGGACCCGCTTCACTTTATAATCTTTACTCCAAACCTAATCGCAGTTTATCTTGGATTCGTCTGTTTTGAACAGTAAATATCACAATAAGCATATCAATTCAATGTTTCTCGTTATTGCATAAGGAACTTAAAATTGACTGTCTGTGATCAAGAGTTAATGTTATTTATCCATAATATGCCAGTTCCTTTAGCGTAAAATTCTAAGTAAGAAACAGTTGTTGTCATGTAGTTTTAGTATAGGTTCCTAAAAAACGCAAAAAAACGGAAATAAACGCTCGATAAAAATGCTATTTATCTATCTAGGAGTGCATACAGTGTTTGCAGAAGATACGCGCCATGCCTACGTCTACACAATAAGACATCACGCCAATTATGCTCCTATAATTATGTCATAGGCGGCATTAAATCGGGGAAGATGTATTATGTGAAATAAATCTTAAATTTGAGGGTTCTTTTGTTACGATAAATCTCGCATTTGATAGCAATGAATAAATGATTAACAATATTTTTCTGTTGCATTAGGAGAAAAATATTCTATTTAGTGGGTAGACGGAAAGAGTGGAACTGGTCTTGAATAGGATGTTATTTGATTTCATTTAAAATGAACCAAGCATAATTTTGGATTTGGTTTTGCAGCGGATTTCTGCATTCATAAAGGCACGGTATCTAAAATAGATGATGATTAATAAATTGTACAGGAAATCGGCCTTTTGATGCACGAGTGCTTACATGAATTGCATTGATTTTACTCTAAGAAGAGGATGCCAGCAGGGTATAGTGTAGTTAATAGATGTAATCTACAATGTAAAGGTTGTTTTGCACAGTTTAACGCAAAATTAAGAGGTTTTTTAGGCTTCTGCGAAATAACGATCTTTCATTTGATTGTCGGGGGATTGAACTGATTTTGTAGCTCTTCAACGACAGAGTAATAAACGCAGTCAGATATTTTGATACAATTTGTGGTATCTTGTCAATCTGTTTGTGTGTTGTTGTTTTTTTTTTTTTTACTTTTGACATCTGAGATGGTGAAATTGTGAAATCGTGAAATATATTGAATCATTTGTAAATTTTCCCAATTATAAAAACCCTGACTTCAAAATACATTACCATTTGTAAAGGCAAAGCTTAAAAAAAAAAAAAAAAAATTCATCACTTTTCAGAAACTCACTCCTCTTATGTGGTCTACGAACCACATGATGCACCTAAAGTTACTTGGAATGCAGCAGTTATTGACTCTCCCCTGGCAAGAATTTCCAGTATAGAACAGCTTTGTGACGTGCAAACCGAGTTATCCCTCGATTCTGCTTACTGGACTGCTCTAAAACGCAATAGCAATGGTTCGTTTCAATGGGGGCGTGTACCTTATATCTCAGATCAGGTACCCTTAGAACTCCTGGATAACACAACATCATTGGACCGTTGTTATGCCATAAGTAACTCTGCGATGAAGCTGAAGTCGATGGATTGCAGCGTTAGACTTCCTTTTGTAGCCTCCTATATCGGTGAGGTCTACCAATCTTTATCAATATTTACATGGCTTCGATAACATTTGCCTAAATATCAACGTGTAGCTTCGTAGCTCAGCAATTATGTCATACTTCTGTAATGTAATTTCTTTTAAATGTAGCTTTCTTACGAAGATTTTCTTCTGTACCAGTTAATCATTAATGTTAAGAATTACAGTCAGCTCATTCCAAAACCCCAAAAGAAACCTTGACATAACATTATTGTCAATTTGGACTCGCTAAATTACCATAAAAAGTAGCTGGTCTACACGTCTTTATTAATCTGTAAATGAATTACGGAGACAACTTTGCGTTCGTTTTCACCACTCTTTTATCAACTAACGTATTGAAAACTGTGAAAAAAACCCTACATTTTATTCACTTCTGGGAGCTCAAGGGTTACACCGAGGTGTAGCAAACAAAACTGACCCCATTGCTAATCATTCATTTTTCTTTAACAATTATAGATGATTCCGATCCGAATGGTATAATGCCTAATTATACAGATGATTGCCGCCAATATCTGGTAAATAAAGATCATGGTTTATTCAGTGGCTTTGTGTATTCGCGAACAAATTAAGATTTACCAATATTATGCGTTTAATTCATAAGTTGATTCCAATCAAACGTTTTCTTTTTCATGCAGCTTTCAAAGTGCTCACGAAGTAAAGGAACTCGTTCAAAATTGCAGGTAAAATACATTCATACACTTTTAAAAAAAAGTAATCTTACTGCCAACCAAATAGAGCATCATCAGTGATTTCAATTTAAGCAAACTATTCCAATTCAGCTGGTTGTATTTTAGCAAAATTAACCCTTTAACTGTTCATGCTTCTCCTGTTGTATCAAAGGCGTTACAATATTCCTGGTCTTGTGAAGAGCATAATAGTACATTGGTCGGTAGCTGCCAAATCAAGGACACACTCCTGAACTGCTGTCAAAACTATTGTAGAGAAGGGAATGATATTTATTTCATAGATATGGGATCAGATTTGGGTAAGTACGTATTGTGTCAACATGGGTCTTAATTTCTGTATCATTGATAAAAATGATATGGTATGGTAAAAACGTACGACATACGACAAAAGAAATGGGAGTCCTCTTCAATAAACCCGTCAGATTTTAAGTCAACTCAATGAAATATTTAGGAAAATCCTCTGAATCATTCGGTCGCTTAAGATCAAATTCCGAGACGATTGCTG